ATATATATATATATATATATATATATATATATATATATATATATATAATTTACTTAATTTAACTATTTAAGATTTCATGAATGTATGGTAAAAATGGATGGGTGCAACATAAAATAGTGAAATGTTTAAAAGAAGCTAAGAGCGTTTTGTCTACTAAAAAACTCGGCAGATTAAAACTATTTAAGAATCCATTTTCATTTAGTAGCTGAGAGTCAACCGGAAAGAATTTACTGTATTTTGTTTTTGATATTAAGTTTGTTCTATATTTCCCAAATTGGTCCATTTTCGTTTAGAAGCTGAGGGTGGTCAATTGGGGAGAATTTACTGCATGTACCCAAACAGAACCGTAGAAAAGCCGCAAACTGTTCTCGAAACCAATATCCCGAAAGAGTATTAATATTATTATTGACCATTTAACAATTTAAATGACCAATAATAATAATAATAATAGTTGTCACAATATACTCGGTGTGCAGATACTTCTGAACGGTGCTGTACAGCGTCGTCGAGATAGTCCCGCGATCTTATTTATCATCTATATTATTATTGACAATTTAACAATTTAAATAGCCAATAATAATAATAATAATAATAATAATAATAATAATAATAATAATAATAATAATAATAATAATAATTGTCACAATATACTCGGTGTACAGATACTTCTGAACGGAGCTGTACAATGTCGTCCAGATAGTCCCACGATCTTATTTATCATCTATATTATTATTGACAATTTAACAATTTAAATGGCCAATAATAATAATAATAATAATAATAATTGTCACAATATACTCGGTGCGCAGATACTTCTGAACGGTGCTGTACAGCGTCGTCGAGATAGTCCCACGATCTTATTTATCATCTATATTATTATTGACAATTTAACAATTTAAATGACCAATAATAATAATAATAATAATAATAATTGTCACAATATACTCGGTGCGCAGATACTTCTGAACGGTGCTGTACAGCGTCGTCCAGATAGTCCCGCGATCTCTTCCAATTCGAAATGACATGGTTCGCGTGCCATTCGATTCGCAGACACGCTCTTCAACTCGGAGTCGGTCAGACCATCGCAGCGACGCCTCCTGCGGGTTTACCGTTCGAACATGGAGTACGAGCTACGCGAAAATAGATCGGCTAACAAGAAGTTGAAGAAGGCCGGGGGACATCGTCGGTCCGACGATGATTCCGACTACGGCAACGAGGACGACGAGGATGAGGAGGAGGGGGAGGAGAACAACAGGACCAGCGACGACACGAACGTCGGCGACGACGAAGAAGACGACAACGACGAATACGACGACGACGAAGAGGAGGTGAAGACGGAGCCGCCGCGTTATTACGATTACGGTTAGTACACGGTGAACGGTTTCCTCTCGCTTTTCTAGATCGGCCTCGGGGGCCCTTCGACGGGTCGCCGCGGACCCGGGAAACGCGCTCGGAAGCCGAGGTCCGATCACGCAGCATTTGCTTACGAGGGTAAACGAGAGGTCGATGAACCCGAGCGGGAAGGGACGGCACCCGTCGAGGACGACTGCGACGACGACGACGATACCACGGAACCGCTGCAATATTACGATTACGGTGAGGAATACGTCGACGGTTGTCGCGTCCGAATCGTCCGCGGTTGCATCCCGGACGCAACTTGTCTCGGGAAATACGAGCATTTCTTTTTTCCGGATCTTCCTCGTTCGGATTCGTTGCAGCCTTTCTTCGAGACAGGCTGCGTTTAAGCGTTGTTTTCGCAACGCTCGTCGCGCTCGTAACACTTCGACAGAAATACAGCTGACCGTGTTCAGCATCTGTTACGTCGCCACGACGTAAAGAATTCCTCGAAAATGCGGCGGGTTTTTATCCCGAGCGGAGAAGTTCGCGAGACCCGTTGTTACGCTAGATTTACGGAACGCGTCAAAATGGCGGGTCACCAATTTTTTTTCGTTTACGATTATTCGTCGCGCGAAGATACGTTTATGAGTTGTTTATACGATTTATATGTTACTTGCGTGTTACTTATTTATATTTAAATGTTACAATAACGCTTGTGCGAAATCGGAATAAATGTCTTATTGTAATTTATATATATATATATATAACTTACTGTAATTATAATTATAATAATATAATTACTAATTAATATAATAATAATATAATAATATTTAATTTGTAATTAATATAATAATAATAATTATATATATTATATATATAATTTTCGTTAATAACCCGTAAACAAAGCCGCAGATTGCATTTTCGCAAAGGAAAAAGTTACTTAGAATGACCTCAGCTGCCCCACATTTCCGTATTGCGAGACATTTTTGGGACACCCTGTATATATAAAACGGCCGGTTTTTTTGCTCCGTAAATCTAGCGTTAAGTTCCTTTTATTTTTCTGAAACGTATTCTGCGAGTTCCATAGTTATGGAAATAGGAAGTAACAATGGGGAAAGGAATCGGTCGGGGGAATCTGATGATTTTAGGGAAAACGATGTACATATATGTACATATGTACATAGTATGCGAGGTTCTAACTCACAAGTAGCGGGAGTTTAGGAATTATAAGGGCTGGTATGGTAAGGTCGGATGACGTGGCCGGGCAAAGATTAGAATATGATGCGGCGAGGACAAAGGTCGAGCACGGAACAGAGTTTGAGGATGAGTCAAGGGTGAAATCATGGGTTTGCAGAAGATTTCGGGACGTTCGATAAGAAGATAATGGAACGACGTTGATGTACGATGTGACGTTGACGGTATTAAGTGACGATCGTAACGATGATAGTAATAATTATAACAATAATAATAGTTTAATAGTAATTTAGTAAGTGACGATGACAGTAATAATGATAACAATAATAATAGTTTAATAGTAATTTAGTAAGTGACGATGGCAGTAATAATGATAACAATAGTAATAGTTTAATAGCAATTTACTAGTAATTAGAATTATAATAAAATAGCAGGGTAGAATGTAACAGCATCATCTACAATTTTATTTACCGATTTTTATTCACTGGCAGATTGAAGGTAGCATTTCTAGTCCGAATAACAATCATGACATTTTACACAATTTTACACCAATAGTGCCAGAAGACTTTTTATTTTACGGCACGAAAATCGGCGCTCTTGAAATGAATAATTCCATATAAAATCATTTGAACTACGCAATGAATCGCCTGCGAGAGTGATTCGTGATTTCTAATACTGTTCGATTTAGAAATTAACGCGTGTTATCTCGTTCATACTGTAACGAAATTCCTGTTCTGTAATTCTAGATTCCGGTGGAAATAGGCCGCGCGAAGTACGCGCTAAATTCGCGACGCCGCTGATCACGCTGAACATTTTGCTGCCGTTCATCTGGTTTTAACAAAAAAAAAGGGGAAAAAAGAGTTGAAGATATTCCGTAAAAATTGAAGAGAATATGTCAATTTTTGATGAAGTTTCTTCGCTATAATTCGTTCGTTGTGCGTCTGCCACAGATTCCAATTCGACGGAGCCTATAAACGCGCTACTCTAAAATGTAATTGTTATTGTACCATTCTGACTAATAAATGTACCGTCCTTTTTTAATACGACTACGTTATTAATTTCTTACTGGAAGTATTAATATGTAGTTGCATTTTGTAAGAGTGACAAATTTTAGAAGTTTCTTTTTTAACCCTTTGCACTCGAGTGGCGACTCTGAGGCATCGCTAAAATTGTTAATTCACGCTCCAAGATAATTTGTATATTAACAAAGTTTAGATTTAAAAAATTGTTAAAAGTTCAACTGTTATACGAGTCGTCGCAAGACTCAATTTTGTATGCATAAAATGCACTTTTGACAAAGTGCATATGACTATATAACTATATTATATGACTATATTATATGACTATAAAATGTAGATACTATAAATCAGAAGAATTATTTTAGATTTACGGTTAAAATGGCTTCGAGCGCAAAGGGTTAAAATTTACTTGTTTATAAATTTTCAATGATAAGCAACGATCGATATGTCTATGCGATTCTCACAGCTGTTACGCCTCTAACAACAATAGTGAAAATTGTTACGTCGGTAACAACAACGGTGAAGATTGTTACGTCCTTCGTAATCACTGTTTGGTCCATTGTCGAACCTTAAAATCACGGTAGATCGTTGTTATTCACTCTCGGTCACGCACAAACGACCGTTTCAATTTTACAATTCAATGATTCAGATTTCTCCATGATATGCCAACACGGTTTACACAATTTACAGCTCCACGCTCCCGATGGCAATGCTTTCACCGAAGACATAGTTTATCTGAGAAATCACATTCCCTACGGTTTTACAATGGGCTTTGTTCGAATTTTTGTACACCCCGTAAATAGCATAATTACCATTTATAGAGCGAGCGATAGACGCCGTGGAACGAGCGAACGCTCGCTTTTTGCGGAAAAATTCCAATAATATCGCACGATCCGTGGACAGGATAATGGTATTACGGTGCTAAACGAAGAGACAATGATCTCGATCACATTCCTCTTTCATCAAATTTCATTTCTGCATGGCTGCCAGACCGTCAACTTTTGATTGCCGAAGAATTCGCTTCGCATTTTAGTTTAGCTCCTCGCGAAGAAAGCAGAGAATAATTTAATATACATACAACTACGTTGCACGCGGATATCCAGTTCCGTATCTGTGGATTCACAGTTATCAATGGCATTTGTATCATCGCAACCCTCTCGACGTACAGTGGCTCGCAAAAGTGGTCCGTGCATCTTTTAAGACGCGATAATTTTTTTTTTAACTGGACTAAGCGACTTGAGTTTATGTTTAGGTGACGGTGGAACTGGTCTATTATATGGTGATCAAAATGCTTTGTTTTTTTTTTTAATTTTGCTATTGCTTAGAATGACAGAAGAAAATAAAAACTCTCGTTTCTTAACTTTTTTTATCCGAGCAATTTAAAAAATGCCTCTCGTAGATCTCGGTGATTTGTATGCATGTTAACGATTTTATCGAAATCAGCTGTCGTTGTTGCGAGTTACAACAAATTAAAGATGGCGAAAATCGCAATAAAATCGTTATTTTAACCAAAAACTGGAAGAAATCTGCAGTTTTTTAAATCCTTCAACGCTCTTAGCTCTACTCTGGATTATCGAGATTTACGAAAGGCATTTTTTAAACTTTTATTATAACAGATAAAAACGTTCAAAAACGAGGGTTTTTTTAATTTATTTTTCATCATTCCAAGTAATAGCGAAATTAAAAAAAGACACTTTAGTCACCGTCTAGTCCCTCTGTTACCTAAAAAAAAACAATCCAGGTCGTTCGGTTGAGTATTAAAAAAAATATATATATATTNACGAAAGGCATTTTTTAAACTTTTATTATAACAGATAAAAACGTTCAAAAACGAGGGTTTTTTTAATTTATTTTTCATCATTCCAAGTAATAGCGAAATTAAAAAAAGACACTTTAGTCACCGTCTAGTCCCTCTGTTACCTAAAAAAAAACAATCCAGGTCGTTCGGTTGAGTATTAAAAAAAATATATATATATTTTTTTTAATACTCAACCGAACGACCTGGATTGTTTTTTTTTAGGTAACAGAGGGACTAGACGGTGACTAAAGTGTCTTTTTTTAATTTCGCTATTACTTGGAATGATGAAAAATAAATTAAAAAAACCCTCGTTTTTGAACGTTTTTATCTGTTATAATAAAAGTTTAAAAAATGCCTTTCGTAAATCTCGATAATCCAGAGTAGAGCTAAGAGCGTTGAAGGATTTAAAAAACTGCAGATTTCTTCCAGTTTTTGGTTAAAATAACGATTTTATTGCGATTTTCGCCATCTTTAATTTGTTGTAACTCGCAACAACGACAGCTGATTTCGATAAAATCGTTAACATGCATACAAATCACCGAGATCTACGAGAGGCATTTTTTAAATTGCTCGGATAAAAAAAGTTAAGAAACGAGAGTTTTTATTTTCTTCTGTCATTCTAAGCAATAGCAAAATTAAAAAAAAAAACAAAGCATTTTGATCACCATATAATAGACCAGTTCCACCGTCACCTAAACATAAACTCAAGTCGCTTAGTCCAGTTAAAAAAAAAATTATCGCGTCTTAAAAGATGCACGGACCACTTTTGCGAGCCACTGTACGTCGAGAGGGTTGCGATGATACAAATGCCATTGATAACTGTGAATCCACAGATACGGAACTGGATATCCGCGTGCAACGTAGTTGTATGTATATTAAATTATTCTCTGCTTTCTTCGCGAGGAGCTAAACTAAAATGCGAAGCGAATTCTTCGGCAATCAAAAGTTGACGGTCTGGCAGCCATGCAGAAATGAAATTTGATGAAAGAGGAATGTGATCGAGATCATTGTCTCTTCGTTTAGCACCGTAATACCATTATCCTGTCCACGGATCGTGCGATATTATTGGAATTTTTCCGCAAAAAGCGAGCGTTCGCTCGTTCCACGGCGTCTATCGCTCGCTCTATAAATGGTAATTATGCTATTTACGGGGTGTACAAAAATTCGAACAAAGCCCATTGTAAAACCGTAGGGAATGTGATTTCTCAGATAAACTATGTCTTCGGTGAAAGCATTGCCATCGGGAGCGTGGAGCTGTAAATTGTGTAAACCGTGTTGGCATATCATGGAGAAATCTGAATCATTGAATTGTAAAATTGAAACGGTCGTTTGTGCGTGACCGAGAGTGAATAACAACGATCTACCGTGATTTTAAGGTTCGACAATGGACCAAACAGTGATTACGAAGGACGTAACAATCTTCACCGTTGTTGTTANTTTTAATACTCAACCGAACGACCTGGATTGTTTTTTTTTTTTCTAATGAATGAAACAGAGACTCTTGTTTGAGTTCTTATCAAATTGAGCAAGAAAATGGGAATTTGTGTTATGATTCCAGAAAGTTGTTGCAGTAAAGCTCGTTTTATTGAATAGAATAGAGACTCTTGTTTGAGTTCTTATCAAACTGAGCAGGAAAATGGGAGTTTGTGTTATGATTCCACAGAAAATTGTTACAGTAAAGTTCATTCTATTGAATGGAATATTCGAGTTCTTATCAAATTAAGCAAGAAAATGGGAATTTATATTATGATTTCAGACAATTGTAACTATTGTTATATATATATATATATATATATATATATATATATATTATTTTATATATATTATTTATTATATATTGTTATATTTATTATTATTATATTATATATTGTTTTATATATATATATATATATACGCTTTAAAAGGTGTACGAACACTTTTGTGGGCCACTGTACGAACTTTCAGGAAACGTGTCGCGTTCGAAGCGACACGCTTACACGGATGAATAAAAATTAACAGCTGCTCCGGTTTTTCTCGCAACCGCTATTCAATCGCCGAAATAATTGTGTCAATTTTTTCGTGGATTCGGTTCCCGAACCCTTTCCGCCGGTGTCTATACCGTGGGAAACCACGATGGACGAGATCTAGATCCGAACCGTGAAACGTGAAATTCGATTTCAGGAAGAGATAAACGGTCGGATGTTCTTGTCTCTTCGATCGAAATACAATGGGACGACACCGAAACCGTTTGGTCGCGCCACGCGCGTGCGGTGAAAATGCTGTTGATTCGCGCTAAATTTTCTCTACAGAATGCTCTGTATCTCTCTCTCTCTCTCTCTCTCTCTCTCTCTCTCTCTCTCTCTGTTGTGGATTATCTGTGCGATTGATAAAATCCAATGAAAAATTCGATAACGCAATGTCACTGGTAGAGCGATCGGCGACGACGCATCCGTTTGTGTCGCAATATAACCGTTATCAAAAAGACCATTCATAACAGAAAAGAGGGATATATGTCGTATTATGAAATGAACATCTGCCGTTTAGGATCACCGATACCAGCAGGTACATTATGAAACTGTGTTACGTATCCGAAAGTTCGCGACAACGAATTTCAATCGGCGAATTTACGGCGGACATTTCTGTGTTTCCCTGAGATGATGATCGAGGAAACTCGTCGAAAGCGATAAAGCTCGGGCGAGGAAAAGAAACGCAAAATGCGCGTAATTGAACTTAATTGACTTACTTAAGATAATTCCTGCGGTCGCGCACACGTTGCCAGCGAAATACGTATACTGTTACAAAGGCTTGAGAGACGTACGTCGCGTTCGGTACATTCTCCCTAATTGACGATCAGCTTGGAAACGAAAATGGACAATTTGGGAAGCGGTGATACGATTATTCGAGCCTTATAGTTATCGGCGACTATAGTAATCGGCAACTATAAAAATGAGCCTCGAATGTTTCTTCGTGTACGATCTGAGCGCCAATTAGGGAGAATTTACTGTAACAGCAAAATTGGAAAAAGCTGTTGTAATTCCAACCTTTAACATTTAAACAAAAATTCGAGTCATTTGGTCCAGTTTTAAAAAATATATTAGGTTATGCTAAGGTTATTATTAGCTTGCGATAGACAGAGATACGAGATAAAAGGCCTTTTTTATTGCCATACATTACAAAATAGTAATTGCAATTTTTTTGAAGAGTCCTTTACCTAATTAGAATACCACACGATTATCGAGTTCAAT